CGGAGAAGCAGCGCGTCGGTGCGAGCCCGGGATCCGAACCCGGGTCGCCAGCAGTGGAGCGCGCTCACTTAACCACCAAGCCACGGGGCCGGCCCATGGGAGTAACTTTTCGAAAGCAGTTTGTGTGCCCTCTAAAATTCACACCCACCTGGGTTCTCATACTGTTTAGATATTGGGCAAAACTCTAAATTCTCTGAGCCTTTAATTGCTTCTCATTGATTTTATACCCACCACCTCCAAGCCCAGGACTCCAACAGGCCTACCACTTATTGAAAATCCACCTGGTGGCCCAGGACAAAGAGGGACAAACGGCTATGCCGACAGACTGGCACTATGGCCCTAACATTTAAAAGAAATGGCAGGAAGAAGGGAGAAATAGGCTTTTTTTTGTTTTTGGCTACACTGCTGGGCGGCTGATCTCAATCAAATCTGCAAATGAAGAGCTTTATTTATTTATTTTCCCCCAAAGCCCCAGTAGATAGTTGTATGTCACAGTTGCACATCCTTCTAGTTGCTGTATGTGGGACGTGGCCTCAGCATAGCCAGAGAAGCGGTGCATCGGTGCGCACCCAGGATCCGAACCCGGGCCGCCAGCAGCAGAGTGCACGCACTTAACCGCTAAACCACGGGGCTGGCCCTGAAGAGTTTTAGGTTTATGATTTTCACCCATCTGAGCAACCTCTTTCAACTTCTTCGATTACCTGACAAGAAAGACTGATGCAAACTTTTCTCCATAAACCATATTGGAAAATGGCAACCTCATTAAAACGTGGAAAAGTTTATTTAGGATATGGAAATGAAATAAAAGGGGGGAAAGAGCCATCACATTGTATCTGTAGCATGATGATATTTATGAAAAATATATGCAGTTATTCCCCACCCCCAAATTTTGGGGAATGTAGTTACACTACCTTTATAATGGAAACAACTAAATCAATTCCGAAAAGCCATAGATGACTGGTGAAGAGGGAAAACTAATCAGACCCACTATGTGCAGAGTACTATGGTGAAAATTTGGGAAATGAGACGTTTATTTCTGGGAGATTAAAATTACAAAGTATAAACACTCATTTCTTCATTCATCCTGTAAATATTGAGGGCCTACTATGTGCCAGGTACTGAGCTAAGTGCTAAGAATATTGCAGAGAAAGTCATGGTCCATGCCTTCACAGCACTTCAATAAGAGGGTCACACAGGGCCGGCCCCGTGGCTTAGCGGTTAAGTGCGCGCGCTCTGCTGCTGGCGGCCTGGGTTCGGATCCCGGGCGCGCACAGATGCACCGCTTCTCCGGCCATGCTGGGGCCGCGTCCCACATACAGCAACTAGAAGGCTGTGCAACTATGACATACAACTATCTACTGGAGCTTTGGGGGGAAAATAAATAAATAAACAAAATCTTTAAAAAAAAAAAAAAGAGGGTCACACAATAATCAACAATGGTACAAGTGAAAACAAAGTTGCAACTGTGACTAGCATAACGAGAGAGAGACCTCTGGTGGTATGGAAGGCTGGAGATGTGATGATCAAGGAAGATGGTACATAACTCTGTGTAAATGTTCAGTGATGTAGAACAGACTCTAAGAGGAGAAGCAGCACAGAAATAGCAGGGTTCAGAGGGTTTCATTTAGTCAAAGATAAACTTCAAGAAAAAAATCTAACAAGTGGCAGGCACAGTACTAAGCATTCCACATGCATTAAAGCTATGTCATTATCTCCAGTTTACAGCCAAGGAAACCGAAGGGTACGTAAGGGTGTGAAGAGGGTGGTCAGAGGAGAGTGCTGGATCAGCGAGGTTCATCATCTGGTGCCTTGGGGGAAAAACGATGATATGAGTGAATCTAAGGAGTCAGACAAATCTACAAAGGAGGGCCAGCCCCATGGCTTAGCGGTTAAGTGCGCACACTCCGCTGCTGGCAGTCCGGGTCCGGGTTTCGATCCCCGGCGCGCACCGATGCACCGCTTGTCCAGCCATGCTGAGGCCGCGTCCCACATACAGCAACTAGAAGGATGTGTGCAACTATGACATACAACTATCTACTGGGGCTTTGGGGGAAAAATAAATAAATAAATAAAATTATTTAAAAAAAAAAATCTACAAAGGAACTAACAGTCTGAACCTCTGTAATTTTGCCGTAGGCTCTCCTTGCCAGTGCATTATACAAAGAGATGGTGTATTTTGATGGCCTCTGGCAGGATTACATGACCAGCAGTGACGCTGGACCTCTAGCTATACTGAACATTAACAACATGGAGGGGCCAACCAGGTAGCGTAGTGGTTAAGTTCACGTCCTCTGCTTTCAGTCGCCCAGGGTTCACGGGTTCAGATCCCAGGTGTGGACCTAGACACTGCTCATCAGGCCACGCTGTGGTGGCATCCTACATACAAAATGGAGGAAGATTGGCACAGATGTTAGCTCAGGGCCAATCTTTCTCACCAAAAAAACAAAAACAAAAACATGGAAACACTTGTGGAGGAAAACCCCAGGAAAAAAAAGGACTTCCTGTTAATAAAATTACAATGGCTCAGAGCCATCATAATTCACAGGATTCATGCAAACACATCCTAATTTCTACTCCCAGGCTAGTGAGGTAAAACATATCAGTTTAATATTACAGACATGCCTGCATCCCTAAAATGAGAGCAGTTGTTTAGATAAATGCAGGCCTTAAAATTGATATTGCATCACTGCAAATAATGTTTATAATAAAGATCATTTAAGCACAAGGAAAACATGTTTAGGATATACTAAGTAAAAATACAGACTATATTGTTCTTACAGTACACTTTCCACTGTGCAAAAACAAACATGTAGAGAGGAATAGAAGAAAATGCACCCAAATGTTTTAAGACAACTGATTTTTTTTCCCTTCTCCTTTCTCTCTTCTAAATTTTAAGACAATATATTTTGCCTTATTTACATTTTGACCAATTAAAAAATACAAAGAAGTACAATAACAAAGCTAAAACTGATAAATCTCACCATATAAAATTAAGAATATGTTGTCAAATTACTTCCCTTTAAAAAAAAACAACAGCAAATGATGAGGCAAAAATACCCTTTAACTTCGACACTGGTCCTACTTCCCTCCTTCCTCCCCAGAGGCAGCAGCTATCATGAGTTTGATGTGTATCTATCCAGGCTATTTTTTTCTAAATTTATTTAAAATTTTCATATAGTAGAATTCACTCTTTTTGGTATATAGAACTGAGTTTTGACAAATGCAGAGTCGTGTAACCATCATCACAATCAAAATACTGAATATTCCATCAGCCCCAAAAACTCCTTTGTGGTCAAACCCTACCCCTAGGCTTACGCCTTGGCACCCACTGATCTGTCCTCCGTCCTTAACAGTTTTGCCTTTTCCAGAATGTCATATAATGGAATCACACAGTATGGAGCCTTTTCTGTCTGGTTTTTCACTTAGCATAACTCAGTTCAGATTCATCGTGTTGCAGTGTATATCAACAGCTTATTCCTTTTTATTGCCAAATGGTATTCCCCATCAACTCACCAACTGAAGGACAA